ATTAAAAAAAAAAACTTTTTTCCTTTTAATTTTAAAAATGTAAAATTTATATTAATTTTATTACTAATTTTATATAAATTATTTTAATTAAATAATTAATTATATAAGATTTAAATTTTATTTACTTAATATTAATTAATATTAAAAATATATAATAATTATATCGTATGGGATAAATTAAAAAAAAAACTTTTTTCCTTTTAATTTTAATGATGAAACTGTCGCAATTGATCCCAAACTTTTTTTCATACATATCAAGTATTATTTAAACTTTCACAAAAAAATATTCCTCTAATTACTGAATTTGATAAATTAACATTAAGCCATTGTCGGTAGTTAATTAACATAACGAAAATCCTTATAATTAAGCTCTTATGTGGTGCCACGTTATCCGTCACGTAAATACCATATGACCAAAAAAGAGGGGCCATGTGGTGTTTATATGGCAGATGAAGTGACACATCATAAGCGATGACAAAGATTTCTATTATGTTACTTGACGGCAGGGGCTTGTAGACTGACTTGATATGACTTTGAAAATTAATAAATTACTTTAGAAGAAGATAAATATTTTAGATAAAATCAATAAAATATATATATATAATTAGTAAACAATTTATTAAATTATTGAGCCTTAGTCTCGACCAATCATTTTTAAATTAGAAGAACCCATTGTGTCTCGTGTGATCACTAAATGGGTGTTTCACCCATTTTACCGGATTCAAATCCCTTGATCCCCTTTCTTCCTCCCTTTATCCCCTAATTTCCACTATACAAAAAATCATTTTAAATTACAAAATGTTCCCATCACAAAAATAAACAAGAGATGGTCCACAACGGCAAAAAATCTTTGAAACGAACAGATTCTTTAATGTTTTCTTTCTTTCTTTTTTTTTTTTCTGCCCTAACATTTTCTTGGTTTATGCCAAAGGAAAACATGGAAGAATTTCTTTTTCTATATATTCGAAACATGAAAGAAATTAAAATAAAGAGATATAGAGTCAAACCTCAAACTCATAAAAGTGATCAGCAAGCAAATATGGAACAAAATAAAGACGGGAATAAATTAAGATGATGGAAAATGATGAGGTGATGAAAGAGTAGGTTCTTACCGGCGGCAGCCGCTCCAACAACATCTCCCTTGGAATCCCTTATGTTTAAAACCAGCCTGGTTCTGTAGTTACTAT